ATTATATATATTTTTAAAATTTTTTTTCCTCAAAATATAAGACAGTTTTATTAAATGTAATAATTTTACTATTATATTTTTTCTTTCTATAATTAATTTTTATTTTTTTTAAATATATTAAATGACAAATATTTTTAAAAATTTATATTTTTATTTTAAAAATATAAAATTATTTAATATATTTAATAAAATTTATTGAGATATAAAATTTTATTTAAAAATGATTTGTGATGTGTGATGGAAGGAGAACTAGAATAGTAGGGAGATGAATAGTCATGAGTTTGTCAGAGGATTCCAAATGAGGCGTACGTGCCACTATGGGTGATCAACTCGGCAATGATTGGATTGGAGTGGCAACCACCAGAGCCCCTGGCTCCTCATCTCATTCTCTCGCTCCTTTTCTCTCCCCTTGACTTTTCAAACCTAACATCCGTAAACCCATGCCCACACCTTCCTTTAACGCGACCACAGTATTATTGTCCTTGCCGAACCATTATGCACACAATTTAACTTGATTAATTTCTTTTCCACTTTTTCAAAAAGTCCAGGCGATTTCTATTGCTTAGCACTTACGGAGACCTGCAACTTGGCCATGTTCTTGTTGGATATATACATTCCGAAATGATTATTCACAAGTAAATTAAATGGCAAGTCACGCCCCCACTGTCATTATTGACCGAGTGGAAAGGGAGGGAGTATCTTCCTTCCAACTTGTAATCACACCTTCACATTTCACGTGTAAAAGTAAACTAAAGCTATCGTACACTACTTGTTTTATGGAACTAATTTGTTAAGAGTGAAAACTATGGGCGTGGATTTTTGTTTCGGGAAGAGGGAGTGATCGATGAACGATAAACTATCAGGTCGTGTGTGATTTAATTTGGCCAAGATCTTCACTGCAGAATTCACCAGAGAGTTCAAAAGGGGGAAGAGGCCAAAAAAAGGAAGAGTGAGAATCTTACAATAATGATGTCCCCCACCAATATGGTGACGGGCAAAGCCTTTTTTTAAAATGATGTCTTCGTAAAAGGCCACAGAGTCACTTCTCGTCGCCATCCATGGACTCCACTGGGCTTTCTCTCGAATCTCATTTTGTGGCTGTTAATACTGGAGCATGTACGCAATAAACTCATTCTCGTTGCCACTAAACATGTGCTCATCATTCTGATTCTTCATTGATTCTGCATCATCAATCAACTTTGTTGTTTTTCCTCCTCGCTCGCCTATTCTGATTGGCCTTCCCCACCCCTTGCTTAATCATCATCCCAATCCCATTTTATTATTTTAATTTCCACCTTGTAAATCGAGTGGGTTTATTGAAGGATAGATATTTTAGTTCTATTGCTATCAAAGGACATCACCTTTTCCATAAAGTCAATGTTTGTGCAAAATGTTGGCAGTTTATCATCATTATCAGAGGACATCAACCCAACCACTTCCTTTCTATTTAGGGTGTGTCGTCCATGTCCCTCAATTTATTAACCTTTTAGTCACTTGATTCATGCTTTAAACTCTGTGCTCCCACTTGTTAATGTGTGAATCGCTTGAATTTTAACTTCCCGCTCAGTCCATCATCGGAACGTGGGAACAGTTTTTGCATTGAGCACTCGGTTGAAAAGGTCAAGGTGAATCGAAATAGAGAGTTAACTAAGTTAAGGTGAATTGAAATAGAGAGTTAATTAATAAATTAAAGAGTTGACGGAACAGAAAGTTCAGAGCACATTCTTGATATTAACCTTCTTAAAATATATGCAGAACAAAAACTAAAAAAATTTATTCATTTAATTTTTTTTAACAATGATATGAGACGGTTGATTTTGGCATAAAGAGAGCCAAAAGGATATACGAGGTGTGACAAAAGTATAGTATGGAACTATGAATGGTCATTTATTAGAAGATTGGAGTAGGTCTAACAAGAAAACCTAAAGCATGATATAACTGTTGTGGATTATCCATTGGAGATTCCAATGTGCATTAACGTTTTTGAGAGTCCAATAAGCCCACCCAGATGTAGCTCGCCTATATATCTATAATTGGGCGAATCTTTAGTAATCTTCTTTTGTAGCATTCTTCACTTGCCATTCAGTAACTTATTCACCTGCAATTGATCAAGAATCAATCACCATTGGCATAATCAACAAAACTAGGCCATCTCATCTCATAAGAACATTGTATCTATACATTACCCACAAAAGTAAGAGGTCTATTTGAGGTTGTAACATAACTCAAAGCCAAAGAGCTATTTTCACAAGTGAAGGCAATGTTTTGTTGCACAATCATGTTATCAAAAACATGGGAAAAGAGGTTGTAGTAATGGATATCAATCACATATCCCATGAGGCCATTATAAAGAGGGAAGAGTTCTCAAGGCTCAAAAGGTCCCAGCCTATTTAAAAGCACCGCATAGGTCGTGGGAGAGTGCTTGCATATAGCTTTATAACCACCCTTATAGTACTTGTTTAGCCTCTCCAATGTAACACCCGGTGCCAAAGGCTCGTTTATTAGCTGCACTGCATATAGGCTTAGGCTTCTTATATACCTACATATAGGTTGTATTAGCAATCAATGTTAGTGTACTAATAATAACTGCATATAAATATCATGCAAACCTTATAGTTAGGAAGTCTGTAACATGAATGGTCTTTTGAATGTTTTCGTCTGTCTTTTCCTATCCTTGAGAGCTGTCTTTAGAAGAGCAATCATCTTCCGCAACGAAGGTGTTCCAGTGGTCCTGAAAATCAAATGCATTCCTTGAACCTACTATAGATAAAAAGTCAATAATTTCCAATAATTTTATTTGAATATAACTAAATCAAGTTGATTTGCTCAATGAAATTGAATTTATACACTTGAAAAATCAAGTAATTTAAAGTAACAAATGAATTGTGCTAGCATTATCTTCATAACTTGGGGAGCTTTGTGGGGCCTATAGACATTTATGACTTAGAATTCACCTTACATCCTCTTAGTGATTGCCAACAGAAAAACAAAAGGGTCATCGTCTCCTTAATTGTTGACCTCGAGAACATAGGCTGTCACCAGCTCCTCTCTCTTCGCTTGTAAGTTCATCACACCGTATGACATGATAAAATCTCACAGCTATAAAGGAATGGTTATGGCTGTCATTAATAAATAAGTAACCATCACCCTTCAACTGCATAATATAAAAATCTCCGATAGTGGATGTCATGAAAAGTTTTGTGAGTTAATAGGACATGAGATTTTAATGTGAAAAGCATAGGAGGGTTACTTGTAAGAAGAATCCATTGGATGCTTTAATTTGAATGCAATTAGAATCATTACTTTTCTTGATAATATGAAACGTCTCAGAGTCAGTAAAAGTGTTGACTACGGCGACCATGTTAATTCTATCTAATCCCATGAATTGTTTATTGAATACCCTGAATTTGAAAGTGGTCTTGTCTATCCTCCATAACTATAAAATGCACATGTAACATCATTTAACATCCTGTTTGCAACAAATTCACATATGTAAACACATAACAAAGCTAGCGCAAGCTAAATGTTTTCTAACTAGAAGCAGCCGTGCGGTTTTCTACTATGATTGTTCCTCCCTCGAACTCGGCATAAAGATATTTCTTAGTTGTCACCGACTTGAACTGAAGATCGATTCCATCCTATCAAAAGGTGACAAGAAGAGATTTCAATCGAAATGCAATAATTAACATGATAATGATCATTTAATTTGATAGAACAGTTATAAAAAATGATGTCGTATAATATTTAAAAAATATTAGATATTAAAATTTTAAATTTGTTAAGGGGATAATATTTGTAAGGCAGTGTTTTTATGGTAAGTAGTGTTTTGAAGATTTAAGTAAAAATGTATCTTAATAATTTTTAAATATTAATAAAATTTAATAATTATAATTAAAATATTTATTAAATAAGTGGACTTACATCCCTACTCTCATTGAATCCAAATCTAAATTCATATTATACCATTTAATTAATAAAATTGATGATACGAAAGCTTAAATTGAGAAATAAATACTAGTCAATATTTATCGTTTTTTAAATCCTTTTTTAGTGGCAGCATCAACCTAATAATAAATACTAGTCAATATTTATTGCTGTTTAAATCCCTCATTAGTGGCAGCATCAACCTAGAAATAAATACTAGTCAATATATATCGTTTTTTAAATCCTTTTTTTGAGGCAGCATCAACGTCGATAGCATATCTTTATTCCATGAGCATTCCATTGGTTCAACATCCACCACACGTACACACACCCATGCGTTGAATGAAATGATATGACAAAGCTTAACCTGAAACTCGAACCAATCTCGCGCTTGGTAAATTGATATTTTTTACTGCCGCTGGTTCAACATATGCTCAAAATCATTAATTTTTATGATTTAACAGTATCACATGATCCGATATTGTCAAAATTTTAAATGCTACGGATGAATTTCATTGAAGATTCAATAAGAAAAACATCAAAATTGAACATCAACATAAATTTAATATTGTATTTATATACTCTCTTTTTTTAAAAATATAAAATATTTTTTAAAGAGTTGAATATTATAAATATAAGACATTTTCAGTATTTTAAAGTGTAATTATTAAGTTTTTTTTAAGTGCCCTTAATAAAAAACAATACATTTATTTTAGAGTAAAATATTTTATTAAATGAAAGTAATTATAAAAAATAATATTAATTTAAAAATAAGTAATTATTTTATTGAGAGTTGAAATTTAATTAAAAATATTTTATATTTTTTTAATAAAAAAGCAGATAATTATCTATTATTTACAATCTAATCTTCACTACCCGTTCCTACTACTTCGCTAGCCCAAAGAGAAAATGTCCACTCCACGGCCCTGCACCCCGGCCTTCGCAATTCATCAAGGCAAATCTTCTAGAGTCTATTTTAAGATTTAGTATTAGAATTTAAAACCCAGAAAACAAAATCAAGTGCGTCATGACGTGGCACGTTCACAACGTCGATATCACCATCCGTGCCGTGCGTTACCATGTGAGTGAACCGACTCCAAACCCTTTGAAATCCATCCATTTTCTATTTCCGTCTCACTGAATTTGGATACTCATCAGTGTCGCCCTTTCGTTTGAATTGCACCGTTAAACTCTCCAGATTCCTACCCATATTTTCTCTGTTAATCTCGCGAGCTTAGCTATGGCTGCCAGGGCTTCCTTCCTACTGCTCCTGTGCGCGCTACCGGCACTGATTGCGGCCATCCGCCCGGAGAGGAACCCATTCACGGTGCAGGGTCGCGTCTACTGTGACACTTGCCGTGCTGGCTTTGAGACCTCCGCCACTACTTACATTGCTGGTACCTTCCTTTTCCTCTCAACCAAATTCCTCTTGTTCCTTTTTCTGTACATTTCTTTGTTCCGCCTATTTTCTTGTAACACTTGCCCGAAATCCAAAATAAGAGAGTTTTTCCTGGAAACGTCTTGCATCCTGTTTTTGACGCCAGATCTGAAATTTGTTTGGTAAAGTCCTTCTCGCACCTTCATCTCACGGAGAATGTCGTGACCTGAACTTGCAGTCTTAGGCGGTCCCTAGGTTTGCTAGTTCTGTCGGGTTTTCTTGTTCAAGCGATGAAATTTTCTTTCTTTGTCTTGTTTTGTTAAGGTAGAGTGAAAATTTGTGAGATGGATAGTTGCCAAAACCTCGATGATCCATTCGATCTGTATTTCTGTTGAAACATTGATCTCTATATCCTTGATTTTTATCTTTAAAATCCGTCATCTTTGGAGGGCGGTGCTTCGGCCTTCGGTCTGCACGCTCAATGGTATCCGGTAAGACTGGCCAAAGGGGGAAAAATGGCAACCCTGTATTGCCAAAGGCCAATTAGTAGTAGAGATGCATTTGTTGTAATTCGGATGCAAGTACGGATGGATGCAATCCTTATCAATCAGATGAGGGCAGATATGATTGTGACGTTTTTTTTTTTTTGTCATGCTCAAGATGTCCATCGTGGAAATCCAATATTCACTTTGCAGGGCCTAATTATTATGCCAGTACTCAACTGTGTTTTTAGTTAGATTTCTGTGTAGTATATTTTTTACCAGCAGATTTCTGTGTTGCGTGAACCATGAAGGGTGAACAATCATATATTCATAAATCGTAGGTGTTATATGATTGAAGAAAAAGGTAAGCTAAATGATGAGGCGATGAAGCGGTGTTTTGGGTGGGTGGTTGTTGTTTGTAACAGTTTTGTTAATGGTGGTGCGCAGGTGCTGAGGTGGTTGTGGAATGCAAGGAAAGGAAGACATTACAAGTTGTGTACAGGAAGAAGGGGAGGACAGATTCAACAGGAACATATAAAATACTGGTAGAAGAGGATCATGCGGATCAAATATGCGATGCCATGGTTGTAAGCAGCCCTCAGAGTGACTGTAAAGAAGCTGCCCCAGGCCGTGATCAAGCCCGTGTTATTCTTACCCGAAACAATGGCATCGCCTCCGATGATCGAGCTGTGAATGCTGTGGGCTTCATGAAGGCCGAGGCTGCGTCTGGCTGTGCTGAAATTCTCAGGCAATACGAAGAGTTCGACAATGAGAATTGATTTCTGTAATATCTTGAATTGGCCTGGTCTCTATCTTGTTTAATCTTGTTGGACTTATCTCGGCCTTTCGACTTTGTGCCTTTGTATGTGAGTTGTGAGAGGACCCTACTAAATTATATTACTGTTTGACTTGGCAGAGATTGCGTTCTATGTATTGCTGCTATGAACTTCTGGTGTGTCTATTTAATCAGGATTAAGATTTCATAGCTGAATTTCTACCTTTCTGCTATTTGTTTGTATCTTCAGTTCAGTTTTGTTTTCTTTAGACACACCAGTCTTGAAGGGGATTCTTGCTCCCCTACCAGTCTCCCTTTGCCGTTGAAAGGACAAACGGGTATTTTGAAAGAAGTATCTTTCTTTTGATAATTTATAGAAAAAACATAACTTTAAATTTTGGATCTCTACACTTTAATCGCGTTTTATTATAGATCTCTATACTTTTATTTTTCAGCATTTTAGATCCTTCTAAAGTCCCTACATTTTGTTTATGTAAGGATTTAAAACATTAAAAAACAAAAATGTAAAGACTTAGAAAATTAAAAAAAATGCAGGGGCATATATCAAAATTCGAGCAAATTACAGAGATTCAAACCTATATTTTTGCTAATTTATAAAATATTTTTTATAAAATACTTTTTAACTATTTCATGTATTTTAAAAAAAATTATTTTTTTATCATAAAAAGGTAAGGTGTATTTTCATTTTTATACTTGGCTTTAAATAATAATACAATTATATTAAACACATTAATTAAGAAGAGATGAAATTGAAAAAAGTGATTTAATTATTATAAAGTATTTTATATTTTAAATTAAAAATTATTTTTAAAAAGTGTTTTATAAATAGGATTGGAGTGAATATTAGAGAACAAATAATGGACATGGAAAACAAATAAAATTGAGATTTTATATTTATGATCAAACAAGATTCGTCAACTGGCTTCTCCTTCGGGAGAAGTATGTGAAATATAAAAGAATGTGATAAACATTGAAATGAGTCAGACACTGCGGACAGAAAAAATCATATTTGTGTTCATTTTATGATAAAACTAAAGAATAAAAAAATTAAGTGGCTCCATTAGGGTTTGTTTGAAAATCTGTTTTTAAAAACAATTTTTTATTCTTTAAAATAAAATAATAAAAAAATTATTTAGTAATGTGTTTTTGAAAAATATTTTAAAAAAATTAAATAAAATATTATTTTAGAGAATAGAAAAATGTAAATAACTTTTAGATACTCTTGAATTATTGTTTTGAAGATTAAGAAAAAATAAAAAAAATATTTATTTTTATTATTTTTTATTTTTAAAATATGTTCTACAAAATATCAGTGTCAGATTAATAAAATAAAAATAATTTTAAACAGTTCGTTAATCAAAAAAATAAAATAGAGACCAGGAAAGTGATGACGATAATGTGGACCGAATATGGATAAGAGGTGCTGTTCTGTCTGTGGGCTTATCGCGGATGGGATTCATAAGTGCGAATGCCTTTACTTGGTGGGCTTTTCGCTTTTGGGGGTCCAACCCATTATCTAATATCAGCCATGGGCTACGCATTTATTCATGAGACCAATTCACAATCAGTTGCCAGCTCCACGTGCTGACAGGACTTGGAAGAAGAACGCTTGCGGTTAACCCAAAAAATTAAGGGAAATGATAATTAAAGACTCTCTAAAAATATTAATCTCAATTAAGGATCATAACATGTTAAAATTTCATGATCCTTAATTGAGATAAAAAATATAGTTTGTGATGTGGATTCACTAACCTAATTTAAAAAAATTGCTAATGTTTATTGTGAAAATATAAAACTCCACTTGAGAATTCACTAATTTGACTTAAAATTTTTTTTAACATATATTACGAAAACATAAAATTCTACTTGAAAATTGATTATTTGGCAAAAAGTATTACTTGAAAATTTACTAATCAGACTTGAAAATATTACTAACGTATATTGTAAAAAAATGAAACCTCATTTAAGAATCGATTGTTTAAGAAAAAGTGACTTGTTCAAATTGAGATTTTTTTTAAATAATTGATTTTTAAGTAAGGTTTTTTATTTTCACAATATATGTTATAAATTTTTTAAGTCGGGTTAGTGAACTCTCAAGTGACGTTTTTTATTAAACAATTAATTTTTAAATGAGGTTTCATATTTTTATAATATATATTAATAATTTTTTCAAGTGGCGTTAGTGAATTTCACCTCACAAACTATATTTTTTTATCCCATGGTCTTTAATTTTTATCCCATTTTTTTTAGTGAATCTTATCTCACAAACCATATTTTTTTACAGTTTTACAATATATGTTAGCAATTTTTTCAAGTGACGTTAGTGAATCCCACCTTATAAACTATATTGTTTTATCTCATGATTTTTAATTAGAATTTTAAAATGTCATAATCTTTAATTAAAATTAATATTTTTAGAAGATATTTAATTGTCATTTTTTCAAAGTTTAACAAGTCCATGAAACATCAACACCTTTTTTTGATCGCGACCCAACAAAATATTGGATGCCTTTCAAAGGCTCTCGTATTGTATGGATGTCACGTTTCATTTTTTTTTTTTTATGCGGAAATTTAAACGTTTTTTAAATCACATGTTTGGGAAAAAAATTAAGTCATGTCACTGAATAAAAATAATAATAACGCCCGTTCATTTTTTTTTGTTCTACAATATAATAGTTTTCAAGTAATAAAATGAGAGATAAAAGATCAATATAAACATAATCGGAGCGAAAATTAAAACTTCATTCTCGAAATGTCCAGCTCTAATAAGGACGTTGAAGCAGTACTTTTTTTTTTTTTTTTCATAGTCCCAAAAGTGAACATGGAATGAATGCCCTTTTTTTTTTGGGGCAACGCAGGAGGCGGGGTGAGAATAGATGGCACCAAGGCCCAAGGGGATTTTGCAATCCCAAATTAGAGATCACACCAAATCAGGAAATTGGAATTGCCTGGCTTGATGGACCCACATCGAAGAGGTTGGCTTGATAGTCGTAGAGATCAGAGTAGGAGAGGGTCTCTTCATTTTTTTTCTTTCATTTTCCTTCACTTCTCCCATCTCTACTATTCATTAATTTTATTATTTTAAAAAAATATTTAATAAAGTAATTTAAATGGTGGGAATGAAGGAAGTAAAAAGAAATGGAGAGAAAAAAAATAAAGTGACCCTCTTCTTGGCCGAAGAAGCGAGTGTTGGTGATCCTTTTTTACTTTTCTATTTTTACACGTGGGCATATCCTTAGAAGTTGGAACCACCACCTCCACCAGCTTCACGTAAAAGCATATTCTCTCCAACTTCAAAATGACGCCGCTTTGCTCCTTCCACGGCTGGTGGGTACGGGTCACGTGATTTATGCGGTAGCTGTATTAGTCCTTTTAGTAGTTGAAGAAATAAAAATAAAATTTCATAGAGTCCTATGAAATGCTCCGAGATTGAAAGAATAAAAAGGCGCAGGAGAGCATAGAAGAATCATCTATAGCTTTAAATTGTGGGATTTTTTTTTTTTTACATTTTGGATTGATATCAGTGATTATATTTTTGTGATTAATAATTAAAAATAAATGTTTGACCATTATTAGATATATTTTTTATGAAATTAATTTCTCCATTCTACTAATACGGTGTTAGTATTTTATAGCACAATGACGAGCCTAACGAACGGGGCTCCAACGTTGAATTGAAATGAAGAATCAGAGAAGGGGTTAGGTGAGAGAGTGCGCGGGTTCGGTTGCACGTGGCGTGCATACATGTGTCAAGGCCACCAAAGAGGATGCAGGTGCCTGCCTCGTTAGGTGTTTTGAGCCTTGTTCCTCTTCAGGAACCGCCAAAAAAGAAAAACACAAAAGCGCAAGCACATGAAAGATGACAGTTGGACTCGCGAAGGGTTAGGAAAACACGATTCTGTCCCTCAGCCTCCGCAAGGGTTGGTTTTCATGTCAAGTGATCAACCATCGACATCCCCACATACATAACGGTCTTTCACTAAAATAAACTAAACTAAACTCATCGCTGATTATACTTGTTTCAGGCATCTATTTGTCGTGTCCCAGTCCTCTGCGCGATTCGACTTATTTTTTGGATAAAAAGATCATCACTACACCATTCGACTTGTTATTACTGGGACACGTCAGCCACCAATTATTCTTTTACTCCCCTGATTGAATTGTTTTGAGTGCATCATACATCATGAAAGATGCATGGATTATTTGTTTGTGTTCAGTCTGGAACTGCTCTTTCTCGGTGGTTTTTATTTGACAAATTCCAAAAACAAGAGAAGAATTAGAGGCATCTAATTGAATCCCCCCCCCCTTTTTTTTTTCCCTTTTCTTGTCTTAACAAAGAGAGTTACCGCAAGATTGCATTTTTTTTAATGAAATTATTATATGATAAAATTTAAAAGATAATCGAAAATGTTGTTGGCAAAAAGAAATAAAAAAAGTGCGCTTTGTAATGTTACTCGCGTTGTTTTCCACGAATTACATCCAAGATATTTTCATCTACAAAATATTTTATATTTTTAATCCTTTATTGTTATCACGTGTATAAAATCTTATTTATTACCAGTATTTTTAAAATATATATTAATATAAAGCTTCAAAATAAATAATTACGTGCGCGTCGATTTACAGGATACGCTGCTAAATCCACACTTGAAGTTCGATCCGGAGATCGTAACATTTTTTAAAAAAAGAAAAAAGTCATAACAATAATATTTATTCAAAAGAAAAAGTCCTGAATTAGGATTAGGGTTAGGTGTTGACGGAAAGCGCTGTCCAACGGAGAAGTTGGAAGCTTACTGGTGTGAATTGGAAGCAGCCAATTTGGGGGCTGGATTCTTGTGTGGCATATAAATTATGGGAAGCCTAATTGGAATTTGGCTCAACTAAACTAACGGCGACTTCTCCTATAGTGATTAAAGTCGCTTCTTGTCAGTCATCAATAACTTCTTTTCCCTCCTCGCATATCCCCTCTGTTGTTCGTTGGAGTGAATGCTCGCTGCTGTAACTCTGTCATCTTCTTCAGACTTTCTTGTAATAAACTCTACGCATTTCTACATCACCTCCTCGTTTTCATCGCCACCTCTATATAAGCAGGTAAATCCCGTTCCTATTTTCTCCATTCCATACTAGCTCACATTTTCCTTTCGGCTCTTCGTTCTTGTTCTTTTTCTTGCTTTAACTCCTTGCGGTACGTTGTTGCCTTTTATATTGATTATCTTCGACTCAAGACGTGATCAAAGAGCGAGTATTCATTGTTTCATATATTTATACATTCTCTTTCGCGGTTCATCTTGATTTATCTTGTTCGTTTCCTACGGATCTGCGGTTTCTTTCCGTCCTCTACATTGTTTGAGTTCTTTCCATTTATGGAAATGGGGGGCCAGGTTTTAATATGCCAGCCACCAGTTACTAGTGATACATGATAGATTATTTGCCCTTTCATTCTTTTTTCGGGCATTTGAATGGTTTTCTAAGCACGAACGAGTTCGTTGTGTTTTTCCATCTGTGATTTGAACTTTTAAGGGTATATTTTGAGACTCTCGACAAATAAATCTAGGATGACACATGAATACCCTTCATCAGAATTCAAGCGCTAATTGGCATTGGCTTGTTTTCCAACGTTCAGGGGATGGCTGCTAAACTCTGTCACCAGGCCATAGGCACTTTTCAGCCAGAGCCTCTTCTTAAAAATTCTAAAAAACACCAAAATCTTCAGAACTCTATAAGATTGATAGCAAAGGATTTTAGTAGCTGCAATAGCTTGTCAAGGAGAGTTGACCGGAGGAATTGTTGCATAATTCGATCTTCAGCTTCTCAAACATCGGTGGTTGATCCAGTGTTATCCCCTTCAAGAAGCACCACCAGTGACAGTTCCAAGAAATCAAGTAAGAGAAAATCTACTGTCAAGGACATTTGTTGCTTACAGAGATTGTTGTATATGTTTATGTTGTTTTCAACCTTCTGTATGAAAAGCATTCATGTTTACTGTATCATGAAGTCGGATTCACTTTTAAGTTCTCCGTGATTATGAGAGTCAAGGAGTTGAAGTTATCCTTGTTGGATCTTTTTAACTGATGTTCAATTTGTTTCATGTCAGATGAAGCAGCGTTGATCCTTATTCGGCATGGTGAATCATTATGGAATGAAAAGAATTTATTCACAGGTTGTGTAGATGTCCCCCTAAGCAAGAAGGGCATAGACGAGGCAATCGAAGCTGGCAAAAGAATCAGCAGCATTCCTGTTGATGTCATATTTACATCTGCTCTGATTCGTGCACAAATGACAGCCATGCTTGCCATGACTCAGCACCGTCGAAGGAAGGTAAAAGGAATGCATAACCTTCTTTAGGCTCTGAAAGTGAGAATATGCCCTACTAATTTTAACATTGAAAGCTTAGGGTTTGTTAGGACGCATGCCATGCTCCCAAATCCTTGCTTTTGAATTAGTCTTGTTAATTATCAGTCCATTACTGGAGTAACTTAGGACTGGACAGTTTATACTGCCTCCTCAGAAATTGCCAGGTTATGGCATTATGCTATAATATAATATTATAATGCAATTGTTACTCATGATGTGAATAGCAATATAATGATGTCTAGTTTAATCTATTTTAAGAATTATATCCTTTACCGTATTATGCTTTTCAATGTCTTTTTCTTTACCTTTAATCATCAACTTTTATGAAGGTGCCTATCATTATACATAATGAGAGTGAACAAGCAAGAGCATGGAGCCAAATTTTTAGTGAAGAGACAAAAAAGCAATCTATTCCAGTCATAGCAGCCTGGCAACTAAATGAAAGAATGTAGCAATCTTTTTCCAGTGCTCAGTTCTGTCATCCTGCTTCATAATCTCACCAATAGTATATGATTGATTTTGCAATTTTTTTTCCTTTCAGGTATGGAGAGCTACAGGGTCTTAATAAGCAGGAAACTGCTGACAGATATGGGAAAGAACAAGTCCATGAGTGGCGCCGAAGTTATGATACACCTCCTCCAAATGGTGAAAGTTTGGAGATGTGTGCTGAAAGGGCAGTTGCTTATTTTAGAGAACAGGTAAGTTTGGTTTGTTTTGTTTTTTTTTTTTTCCTTTTTTTTGGCTCTTTTTCCTTTCATAGCATAATTTTATTGAGATTACTATAAGTAACAGAAAATGTTTTCCCAATTTTTTTTTTCTCTTCTAAGTTCTAATGCTCACTATGATGTTTTACGTATTATATCATCATGCTCTATCTTATCCTAAATACAGGGAACATGTAGTGTGTACCTTTTTTTTTTTTGCCCCAATCCTACCCATCTCTCATTTATTGTTGGCTTTAATTTAAAATTTTAATTGCATTGTGTTAGTGGCTTGTTTTTTATTCCAATAAGGCACTTAATTCTGGTCATTTATTGTATTAAAGGGCAAAGGCAAAACTGGAAAGATTGACACTTTTTTACAAGATTAATAATAATATAAGCTACCATTCCTTAAAAAGCATGAATTAGTTACCATTGCCATACATTTAGAACCAGAGGGAGTCGTAAGAAGTTGTATATATGTTTGAAATCAATGTGAAGGTTTCAGATCAGTATGTTAAGTAGTTTTAACTGAAGGATTGATTTTCATTGCTCTCTAATCCTTAATATTTATGCCTGGACATTTGATGAGACACATGTGGCATTAAGCTTGCGTTGTGCAGGAGATAAAAATATGCATTTAGTTTGTTAAAAATTTCAAATTTCTTGCGTTGACTTGTTGGTAATGTAATATATAAAGTTTGAGGCTGAAGTGACCATGTAACATCCATGAGGAGCTAATTCTGTTGAACTATGATGCAGATTGAACCCCAGCTTTCATCTGGAAAGAATGTTATGATTGCTGCTCATGGGAATTCATTGAGATCCATTATCATGTATCTTGACAAACTAACTTCCCAAGAGGTGATTGTAGTGTTCAAAATTGTCACTCCCCTTACATTCACATACAACACGTAAACTGGTAATGAATTTTTTTCTCACTGTATAACAGGTCATTAGTCTGGAATTATCCACTGGAATCCCCATGCTTTATATTTTCAAAGAAGGAAGATTCATTAGGAGGGGGAGTCCCATAGGACCAACTGAAGCTGGAGTTTATGCCTACACTAGGGTATGATCATATATCCCTTTTATATCTCCGCCCTCTTCTAGGCTCAGATGAAGAAGATTCTGTTGGAAGTGAACAAGTTTTCATGTAAAGATGGATAAACTGCAACGGAACTTAAAATCTGCTTGAGTTATTGAAAAAATATAGCCAAAACAGTCTGGTTTGAAAAATTATCGGTCTTGTTTTGACTGCACTTTGCTCTGGATTGACAAAAATATAATGCAGATGAAAGGTCATATTTTGTGGGGCCACATATTTCTTAGTCACTAACCATCTTTGAATTATTTTTATATAATAATGTTGAAAATTAAGGCTTTTTTTTTTTTTTTGGGTAAAACCATTCTTCTGTTCTTTTGATTTATTATGCCTGGAAGACGCTGACAGCTTTGATACGTGATCACAGCGTTTGGCTCTTTACAGACAAAAATTGGATGACATGCACTAGAAATACAGGTAACAGTAACCCACTGACTCATCCTTTCTGTTTATGCTTCTCTCAAAATGCAATGCGTTTATTTAACAATTTCTAGGATTGTTACAGGGAATGCGTTCTGCATTATCTGCAGGATCACGGTAGAATCGCATAAAAAGGGAGAGGAAAGAAATATGTGTAATCAATGTTACCATTTTTCGCATGATTTGAAGCTAGAATTTTGGACGTTTTAGTGCAGTTTTGTACCAGTGGTTTGGAAGAACAGTTTCAAGTACTTTGGTATTCATCACTTGTGGACTGTGGTGGCTGAGGAAGCCTGTTGTGGAAGCTTATGGCAGATATAATGCTTTCAGCTGTCCATTCTTATAATATACCATAATTGTAAATGAGTTGCAATGTGAATTTTATGGGTACCTTAATTGTCTTATGAAACAAACTTATTTTAGAGTGTGTTTCTCTTGCACATCTTTTCTTCTTCATCTACAATGAGGATTTACATATTTTCATCTTTTTCTTATCAAAAGTACGATAATCAGCGCAAGTGGAAGCAGTCGCCTTCCAATACCTTGGACTTGGACAGCTTTTATAAGATGATTGGAGAAAATATACACAAACACATAAAATCAATGTATAAACTCTTCAATTTGCTTATATAAGAGATCAAACCACGAAAGTCTGTGAGCGGTAAAGTATGGTTTGTCTTGAGCCTATGAAAAGTCAAATTAGAAAATGAAGCAGGAAGAGAAAAAAGATGACTGGTATAAATCGAAAACATTAAATTTTTGTTGGGGCCTACAAAACATAGAGTTGACAGAAGTCTCAGCCCCAAACTCGAATATAACATCTCGCAGCTACATTACAGTTGACCGAGCAGACCTTGAAAAAGGCACGCAATATCTCAATCTAACGCAAATCTGTTGTGGTATTTATATTTCCTTGATGAGCCAAGATATCCTGATCTGGTTTGGTACTCCTCAATTTCATCTCATGACCAGGGGTGTAGTCTATTTCTTCATTGTCAGAAGCACCAGAATCTGATTCTAGCTTGATTGGATCTAAAGGAGCATCACATGGAGTTGACGATGGAATGTTCGCCCTTGTCCAAAAAGAGGGCATCTTCCTGTCATCCTCTCTCATCCTCTCAGCATATATATTGATGTCAAATTCGGAGTTATTATTCCCACCAAACGAAGACTCTAGACTGTCCATATCAAACAGATCTTCCATAATCTTCTTGGTGTTGTGGTCATCTGAGTAAACAAACTTGACTTTATTATAAGTCTTTGGCTCTAATAGGGGCTTTACCATCTGCACCAATGCATTCTTTGACATCAGAAAATGGTACAAGATCTGTTATCTAAGTTTTCGGAAACTAAAATCAAAATCAAATATAAAGATCAATCATGCACTAGCCAAGAAAAATACCTACCACAATGACAAAATAATGCCCCAATTAGTAGAAATGACCATGACACTCCAACGGTGTTATGCCATTCTAGAGACTACTCAGTAGAATCCTACCTCTATGAACTTCCCAAAAAAAACAAGAAGAAGAAGGAGTTGTCAACAGAAACTGGACCTTTTTCTTCACTGCCCGTGCATGTACCTACACTGTAGGTAGAGGGAGCAAGTGCCCCCACAGAATTTTTTTATTTTATTCAAGTTTATATGTATAAAAACGATTTCAAATATTTAACAATATTAGTTCTAATGCCCCCATAATACATACACACATTACCCTCACATTCTAAAATTTTTGGATCCCTTTTTCGGCCTCATTACATGTGAAATAGACAGGTTTCAACCATGAACAGTATAAACGCAAGATGAAAACTTGGATCCAGTCCATCCCAGAAGACAACTCGAATCCTGTGCCTAATTTTGACATCAAGTAGCTGAAGCAAGTATTATCTCTCAAGGCAACATAATTTACATACAAGAAAAAAATTCAGATTTTAAATTGGCTGAAATTGTCAATGAAGCACTAAACTTTTGTGCGAGTGAAATCCACTTGATATCATTCTGACATAGGATCTAAAATTGCCAGCATATTTTCATCCACTCATGCTGCATTCAGATGTTCAAAAACCCAACACAGATAAATCATAATTATAGATTTACCTTGAAGAACGGTTCAAAGAACTTTGGTGGATTGTACAGTATTGCCAAACCCAATCTTTCCGGATAATGATCTTGTAAGACATGGGCAGTTTCACGTGTCACCTTCACTGATATATTCGACAAGCTGAAACCCTCGAAATCAATTAGCCAGACCATCTGTTCCTGTTCTGCTGGAAGATTTAAGATAGCATTCTCCATGCAGCATACCAGATACTTGATCTGTCCTTTTATTGACTCTGAGTTCTGCACCCAACCAAAAAAAGAAAAAGAAAAAGAAAAAGAAAACGGAAAGAAATATATGGAAACTCAACAAATATGCATAAAACTCATCTTGATGGTGATGAAAAATATAACTTAGACCAGATCCAGTTCGCCCGGATTCACCATTACCAAAACTTGCAATTCTAACAAGCATTTGACGTCATTTTCAAAGATTGGTGTAAAAGGTGGCCAGCTCTGCTTTACTTAGCTGGATATAATGTATTTCTAAATATGGCCCTCACTCTCATGTCTTTCATCGATGCTAGAGGTTAAAAGAGATCATCAGAAGAAACCTGTCGACTAGGTCTCATGACAAGGACTGTTCTCCCATGCTTGTCAGTATAATTTGACCTATAAATCTTCCCTGTCTCTGCTTCATTAGCAATCTCTCCCTACGTCAAGAATATGGACATCATAAACCGATTAGAAGTTGATATCACAAGTGTCACAAATACTCAGAAGAAAAAACAAAGAGTTCATATTTTAAAATTAAAATTCATTCAAAGGAGTCATGATTTAATCTACTTTACCTGTGATGCTTCTCTTAATTTTATTTTCCGTGAATTTAATTGTAATGATGATAGTTTAGCTAGACATAGTTTTAGAATCACTCAAGTAGTTTTAGAATCACTCTCAAGAGTTTTTGTATCTTTAATCAACTCCCACCTTTAATTACCAAAGGCAGTAGCTGATGAAAGTTTTCTTTCTTTCTTTGCTGTTTTGCTTTGTGCTTTGTACTGCTTATAGTTCTGTCTAAATATTAGTTTCCATTTCTACTAAAAAATAAAATAAAATAAAATTTATCATATCCCCCATATCTTATCATGACATATCCTATATATGTACTTTATTTTTCTTTTAAGTGAAACAAATACTCAATAGACAAACAATAGCTTAGCCTTAACGGACGTAGCAATCCATCGCAGTCATGAGTTATATATTTAAAAAAATTGTAAGAAGTAAAGTGAATAGAAGCATTGACTCACCCAGCGGATTTCTTCTGGCTTGTATTCTGCTCTCCATTTTAAGGTCTGTTTCAACATTTTAGCTGCCTTCTTGACATTCCAATTCCTAGCTCTTAGATGCCGTGAGATGGATTCATTGGAACAATAAATCAAGGCCTTACCAGACAATGGCCCTATCAGCCTTCTTATCTCATCGATCTGCATGGAATCAAAATATCATAGACTCGTGCTACTCTAATTAGACATTGCAGCGAAATAACTTCGAAGGCCAAGCATCAAGGTGAGGTGAGAAACGTGCTTCCAGATAAAAACTATATGGACATACCTTTGCCTGTTGCTCTTGTGATTTTAACATATTGTCACAGCCATTAGTGGTAGCACTGTTTAGATCCCCGCTCATGGTGTTCAAATAAAATCTCTACAAATCATTAACGATTGCAACAATAATCAATACCAATTTTTCCAGTATATTTTCCCCATCTTCATCCTGAATAATAACAGCACGACGGCAGGCAAGAGTAAGCATTGTTATAAGTGTGTGCAAAAGCTCAATACGCAGCCAGGCAGCAAGTCTTACATAATGACAAACAATTTGTCAACCCAAAGAAAAAAAAAAAGATTACCAACTTTAGCATCTGCATCAACAAAATCGCAAATCATTCAGTGGCAAGATGCGATCAACTTTTCAAAAGCAACAAACCGAGCAACCGCTCTGTGGTGACAATGGTGACTGTCGGAAAGTTATAAGTAAGACGCCCTTCTAAAATTTTCTTATCCAAATATTAACAACTGGTCCTTAGATTGGTCGGCAGAGCAGGCATTTGCAAGATGAAGACTCAAAATTAACTGATCACTGCAATTTCTTCAGCAAATTTTGCTGCAATCATCTATTTTCTAGCCAAACGATAACCTGCACCTAAGACTCATAGCCGGCGGTCACCATCTTCTTCTAATTTCTAATATCCTAAGCCAATCCTTCAATAAGGTACTAATAAGAGATACTGTAGAAAGTAATGTTAGCAGCCCCCGGCACACACATGAACTCACATCATTGCAGGTGGCAAAATTTACCGAGGCTAAAAGTTGTACGCGCAAATTGACGCTCGCAACGCATAGATGTGAATTGATGTGTATGCTAGGAAAGTATAAGTAGACTTGTGGATGCAAAACGAACCAATATAGAAGATGACCATAGAAATCATCGCCGCAGGTCTAATTATTTCTTATTCAATTATTAACCAGAATAATTATCTTGTGATGCTTGACGTCCAAGACTATCAAACAAATTATAGGCGAGACCGTATTCAGTCGTAAGCTCAAGTAAATTCTATAGTTACTCAGTAATCGACAAACTAAATCAAATGGATCAACCAAAAGCAGGGGAGTCAACACAGGACAGATTAAATAAGAATAGGCAGAAAGAACAGAGAATCGGGAACTATGACAGGCGCCAAACCTGAGCAAATTCAAGGTTTTTCTGTCTGCCGATCAGAATAGCAGAGAAGGTACGATTATTTCAGAGCTGACTTCCCCCCGGCAAGGAGAAAGACTGGTCAGCCTTCTCCACGAAAACAAGGAGAGTGCCTTCTTTCCATTTTCTATTCAAAGTTTTAAATTTCCAAATTTTTAAATTGGTGCCCTTGCAAAACGACGTCCGAAGCACGTTCCAATGTCCACCTAAAACATTGAAAAATAAATAAATAACAAATAAATACCAATGTGCAACTACGTCTCCAATCGTTGGCCCAAAAAAAAAAAAAAAAAAAAGCTACGTCTACAATCTCCATGTTTATAAATTATAATGTAATGCAGTATCATTTTATATAAAATAATGAATAATAATTTGACTTTTTTCTGTTCCAACTGGTCCCTTTTTTTTAATTAAATGACAATTATATTAATAGAAAACGTTAAAAGAAAATATAATAGTTAAAGGAACAATAAGTGACGTGGCAGCCAGATAATGTTCTTTTCCTCTGTTTGAAGAATGCCAACTGGTTCCTGAAAAAATATTGGGCTCGTTAATCGTTAAATCCAGAATTAAATTTTCTTCGTATGCAAGACTTATTTTTTTATATAAAAAAGACTTAAAATTTGAGGATTTTATTTAAGAAAAACAAGCACTAAAAACTGGAATCAAACAGCGGTAACTATTTGACTTTTTTTATTGATTAATTGTGTCCTCTTCCCCCTTAAAATTTGGGAGATAATCACATTTTCCTCGTTCATGTTTGGGGTGGGGCTAGCTCGGTGGACCCACTTTAACACATTATCTAATATCGGGCCAGGGCATTTCAAATTATAATCCCAACGAAATATTTTCTTCTTGAAAAAAATCAAGTTTTTTTGGTTTACCCACGTCAATGGAAGAGAGATTAGAGAAGAGGTAGAATACGGAAATGTAATATTTTATTATAAAAAATATTTAAAAATGCTCGCTCGTAAAAGCATCAGCCCGCTAACAGTTGTTAAATGTGTGGGTAGGAGGGTGACAAGCAGCGGTGGAAATAGGGAGGATCGGTAGGGATCTTGCTCTCTAACTTTTTTTTTTTAATGAAATATTAAGGTTATATATTTTCAACAGTTGACACATTATAAAAATTTTAAGATATTAAATAAAATTTTTATTTTAATTTTATAATAATATTTTATGCATGTATAGTCTAACTATTGTAATAGTTTGGAGATATAATTGTCATAAAATTTATTTATTTTTAACAAGATAATGTTATAGTTACTCTTAAAGTATTTATATAATTTGATTTTGCTTTTTCATTTTACACTTGATGAAAGAAATTATGAGAATTACTCTCTCCGTTTAAAAATATAAGACATTTTTGATTGAATTTCACCTCCAATAAACTAGTTACTTACTTTTTAACTAACCCTATCTTTTTATATTTACCTCTATTAAACACCCTATAATAAATATAAAGTCATTATTAATATGAACACTTTTAAAAAAAAGACAATGATTACATCTTGAAAGACTTACATTTTTAACATCTAACTCCTCAAAAAATGTTTTACATTTTTAAACGAAAGAAGTATTACAAACAAACTTTATAAAGCATTGCAATAAAAATTTTAAGATATATTAAATGAAGAATATATCAATTTAAAGAATTAAATAGTAAACTCAATAAATAAGTAGAATTTTATCTCAATGATATATTTAAATTATTTAATATTTATGAAAAAGATGAAATAATCATCAGTTTAATAATAGTTCATATTGAGAGAAAAAATTTTAAAAATTACATTGTAAACATGATAATCAATTATTTTTATATCATAAAAATTAATGAGTAAAAATTTAAAAATAAATAAATAAATATATATATATATATATATATTGTTATGTGTATATATGCGTTCATGCAAAATTAAATATAAATATATAGGCTAAAATATTTAAGTTATGTTATTGATATATACATAATTTTCTTTTAATTGTTATATACATTTTGTCATTTTGGCCCTTCAAACGAAATTTTCTAACCTCGCCCCTAGTGACAAAGCAATGAATTTCAAACATTTAGAGATAAAAATAATTTAAAATTAAATTTAATGTACTTAAAAACTTTAAAGAAAAAGTCAAGTAATAAAAATGACTCTTGACTTTTGTAAAAAAAATTAAAAAATGTAATAAGAGACCTATATAATGGCTGTTAAACTCATTAACATCAGGGTGACAATATAGTTAACTTCAAATGTTTAAGAATAAAAATGACCTCCAACCAAGTTCAAGGTATATATAAAATTTGAGAGAAAATTTGAGAGGTAGGAATGACCTTTGATTTTTGTAAGAATAACAAACAGAGAGACGTAACATTGAAAGCCAACAAATTTGTACGTGTATTGAGTAATAAAAAAAAATAATTCAGATTTTCAAAATTTAAGGTTATTAATTACAATTTTCTCTTCAAGGGTTTTAAAATGTCATTTGTACAATTATATTCTTAACAATTACTGGTCTATTAGACTTACATTAATTTAACGCTGAGAATTTTTGACTCACGACTACATGCAGTGATGAAAATAAGTTAAGTTGAAAAAATTTGACTTAAATGAACCTGACTTATTACTATAAATAGGTCGAATTATATGCTTAAGTTTGGTATTTTTGTTAGACAAATCAGGTTAGGTCCTAACTCCCATCATATCTATTTATATTTTTTGATATTATAATAAAATTTAATTATATTATATCATTTCATATTATATATAGATCTTAGTGTTACTTGTATTGTGATAAAAGGGAGGAAATGATACTTACCTTGTATACACATACATACACGATATAGTAGTTACTCTTTAGCCATATATTTATTATAATAGTTAATTAATATAATGTAGGATAAAATCGAAAACATCAATTTAGTTAATTACAAATAAAGAAATTTTAAATGTAAATAAACATTTAAATATCAAATGTAACTCTTATATTTTAACAGGAATTTATGTTTATAAATGTTTCAATTAATATTTACAATTTATTTTTTAGAAAATTTTGTCAAGGGCCTAATTGTTATTAATTCAATCTTTTAATACCTAATTGTCATTATGCCTAGTTCAATTTTCAACTTATAAAAATAAAATTTTAAAATAAATTAACACAATTTATATTAATTATATATTTATTTACATGTTTATATGTTACATGTGTTTTTTTTTTTTTAATCACTTAACCAACCCTATTCCCATGGGATAGGATATCCCACACACATGCATTTAAAGTACACGACCAACAAACTTCACACAACAACCTACACACACATATTTCTCCTCTTTTAACCACAATGGGAGTTTAATCCTAAAATCTCTTGCTAGCTGCTACGAGAGAAAGGACACCATATGAATGTCAAGGTGCCATCACATGTCATATTTATATAAATATATTTTTATATATCACACACACACACACAAGGCAAGTCTACAAGACAAGCTTTACTTAAGTAGGCTGGGTTGCAAGTCTAAGCCTTTTCTTCTTCTTTTTTCTCTAAGTAAGTCAGTCATAGATCCTGGCGTATTTTCATCCTTAAATGCACTTAAACACTCATCACCCCAGGTGCCTTGATTCACGCAAGCGCAAGAATTATCGAAAAAGCATGTGATGTCACGCAAACAAACACATTGCTTAGAAAGGCAAACATATGATAATCACATTTCTTTCGTTTATGATCTAATGCTGGGCCTGGGCATTGAACTTCAAATTATAATCCTAACGAAATATTTTTTTTAAAAAAAATCTGAGTTACATAGGTTGGTGCAAGTCTCTCAAATCAAAATAAAGGTTCTAGTTATCAAAAATGAAGCCTCTACATAGAGGCACAGAGCCTTCAGTTGGACTTTGTTTGTCTGATACAAGAAAATGCTTTCGGGCCAAGCTAAGTTTTAATAGATTTATTTCTGAGGTTTGAAAAAGGCATATTTCACCATTGTATGTTGGCTCATGTGGTAAGGAATTTGAGTTTCTTTAATCATTAACTCTTAGGTTCGATCCTTGAGGCAATAGGAATGAAAAAAATATGTTTGGGAGAACCACCACCTCTGGGGCCTCACAGTACTTAAATTCAGATTAGTGAAAACCGTCAGTTTCGAATATCAAATGGTTATACAAACAAACAAACAAACAAAAAAAGGTGTATTTCTGATCACAGGCTCTCTGTTGTTCCTTCCCTTTGTACAATTGTATTGCCGATTTATTTTTTTTAAAAAAAAAGAAGACTAAAAATACTTCTACGCACAATTGCGTTGGACTTCTTTAAAAAAAAAAATGTGAACATGCCAAACAAAAAGGCTGGGCATTGAAAACACCCAAGGGATCTGACTTAAAATTGTTGCCACGCTATTGTATCTCCATACCATCAATTAAATTTACTCATGAATTCATTGCAACAACTAAGATAACACCTGGATGTTGATGCATCTCGCAATTTATGGCATAAAATATAAAGTTCTAGATTAAATATATTTCAAATGTTGTTTTAATTGAGAATTAGATATTTGATAATTATATACATAGCAAGAGAAAATCGTCTCCCCAGAACGCGTAAATAAATTCAATCAGATCAGTAACATTATGAGATCCATGATAAATAAGTTTCGGCTTATTGAAGAATCAGATCAGTAACATCAGAAAATGACATCAATTGGATACTCTTCATCCCCAACAATCAAGAGATGGGACCCTTCTTCAATTACTTTGGAACCAACCTCACTTGCTCTGCTAAGATGCTCGCAAGGGCTTATTTCAAATTCAACTTGGGCCCTTTCCCCTGCATCTAGCATCACACTCTCAAAACCCACCAACTGTTTGATCGGATTTCCATTCCTCTGCTTCGCATGCCTTGTGAATAGCAACACCGAATGCTTCCCCGCCATGCTTCCTTCATTTTCAACCCCCACCGTCACTGACACTGACATGCTCTGGCACACTTTGGCGCCCAACTCTGACACTGATTTGATACGAATTGTTTCCGAATTCTCAACTATCAAATAAGACGACGATTGATTCAAGAGAAGCTTGTTCTGCGTCACAGATACGAACTCGTGGGAATATTTGGAGTAGCTTAGGCCATACCCAAACTCATACACCTTTGGACCCGTGTAAAACCGGTAAGTCCTTCCCGGATACCCCGAAGTTGGATCTGCTCGCATCCTCATGTCCGTCATCGGCACTCTTATGAAATCTTTTGGATACCAAGTCATCGGTAGTCTTCCTCCTGCGTTCACAACATATATAGCACGCGATTCAATTTCTTCACTTTTTGCATTAACTATGTTTGTACTTACTTCATAGGGGCAACTATTAGGAGAAAAGGAGTCACTGAGACAAAAGAAGTCCATACCTAAAAATTAAAAGATCAATCATAAATATATAAAACATGGAATATGTCTAATCAAGTGATTCAGTGGACTATTATTAAGCATACTTAATAATCTAACAGGAACTAAGCATGATCTCTATTACCTTACAAGGTTGTATATTAGCGATAACTTACATTGCTTCAAGAAGATATGTGAAATATTTTAATGTTTCAGCGAGCTTTACGGGTAATTAAAAGAGAAAATTAACCTGGGTTGTGATCGCCAAAGATAATCTGAGCAAGTGCGATCCCTCCAACTTCGCCAGGATAACCGGCCCAGAAGATGCTTCCAACTTTGTTGTCATACTTGGCCAAAGAAATATCAAGAGGGCCTCCAGAAAAGATCACCAGAATGACAGGTCTCTTGGAAGCTTTAGCAACGCTATGTATGAGCTCCTGCTGCTTGCCAGGTAAGTCCAGGTGAACACGATCACGATCTTCTCTCTCTTGACTCTGATCCAATCCCATCATCAGCACCACGTAATCCGCCTTTGTGGCGATTTCCACGGCTTTGTCTATCTGAGCCGAAGGACACTTGACTCCGCCATCACAGCCAGGATGATAGATGGTGTTCTTAACATAGTGCTGAAAGGCCTGCAATGGCGTCACGACTTTACAGGGAGGGCCCGCATAGTTTCCCAGCAGAGTTAGAGGAGAAGCGTTGGCGTTAGGACCTATGAATGCGAGGGAAATAGTGGGGTTTGTTTTAGGGAGCGGGAGAAGTCTGGCAGAGTTCTTCAAAAGGACAATGCCATTTCTGGCAGCTTCAAGAGCTAAATACAGGTGATCTTTCGAACACACTTCGTTTGGTCCGATCATGCCGAACGACAGTTTGGCTGGATTCCCATCGAACAGACCCAGCCTTATTCTGATTGAGAACAGGTTGTGAAGTGCACGATCTACTTGAGATATTGGTAACTTTTTCTGCGTCACTGCTGCTTTAACATACTTCGTCAAGTAATCACCGCACTCTACATCCATTCCTGCAAATATATAGCTGCTTCGCGTTAATCATGTTCAAATTTCCTAATCATCAATAAATTTATCTGATCTACGACACCATTAAAACTCAAATGAATTTAAATATAGTAGTCCTTTAACAGCGGACGAAGTTCTGAAACTCGACGCTTTTATAGGTGTATAAAACTTAACTTGCTTTATTTGCTTTAATCATTGTTTGTTCGCGCATAAAACTTAATTTGCTTTATGCCTTACACTCAAATTGGCCAAAAAAATAATTTATAAACTAATAAATTTATAGATATATTTTAAACACTCAAAAAATAAAATTGTGGGAGCTCGCGCTACTTAAGTGTCGCGTTCAATTGGGCTTATCCCTCTCAACAATTATAGAACCACAATAATAGACCCGTCCCACTTTCCTGTTTATAGTAAACAAACAAGGAGCTATGATTGGATGGAGCAAAGCAACCGTTAAAAAAAGATACTCCCAAAACCGCACCTGTGATAAGTTGGATCCAGAAAGAGGTCGGTGAGGTAGTACTCTATAAATTACAATGGATTTAACATACTTGTCTAAATAAATCACATATACGTAAGGTCCCCGAGGATGTGTGGGGCCCAAAGCATTGATTGCTATAATAGGCTTTCGGAAAATATTCACAAAGGTGAACCGACTAATCATGTTAAAATCTTGCTACATTAGTTGTCATTAAAAAGGAAAAAAAAAATCCTTTCTACATTACTTAATAAGCATCTGATTGCGAGGTTAAGCACCCAACCCAACTGTGAAAAAGTTGTCAAGTTGATCACAAATTCCCAAAAAGCAGCCCACAGGATAAAATCCTTAATGTATCACGAGCAAGTTGGTGACAAATTCCCAATTGCTTTGTTATTATCTGACGATCACAAAAGAAGATAAGGGGGCAGGGGGAGGGAATGTACCAGCCCGAAGGACATCGGCCACAGCATCCTCCGCCGATTTTGCATATCCTTGATCATCATGAAGGAGTGAAACTGCGCCGCAATCGGAAGTGATATACCTGATAGTTTCACCCATCATAACGGTCGAATTAAGATGTAGGTCACTTGTCGGTGTCCCTATCCAGCGTCTACAATATTAATTGATGTAAAAGAACGACGGCTAGAGAAAGAGGCGGAAAATTACCCATGAAAACCCCATTGTCTTCTGGCGGTTTTAGTCAAGAGATTGAAATCTGCGCAGTTTGGAACCCCATTCACTCGATTGTAAGCGCACATTATCCCACTTGCTCGTCCTTGCTCTACGCAACTCCGAAATGGAGGCTGATATGTGTCCGCTAAATCTTGTGAAGTCACCTGAAATACTAGGATTATGAGCATTCGGAAAGAGGGTAAAGAGAATGGAAAGGGACTGCACTTATACAGTAAAAGTCCAGAATTTGTCTTTCTACTTTATCTTCGTGTTTACCTTCTGCTCAGTTCATTTCTACTTTATCTTCACATATGGAAACGAAATTAGATTAAAGTTCTAATGGAATTATACTACAGAGGAACCTGTCCCCCCTCTCAAGGAGTTGGAACTTGGAATGGTTTTCCTGATCTTAAGTACCTGCAATGCTTAACGAGTAAGCTAGTCATAAATATAAAATCTGACATTCCAATGCCCAAGGATTTATTGCGAGGATAAAACAAACAGCTCAGTCAAAGGCAGTAGATACATACGCGAGCATCGAAGATGAAGCGATTCACACCCTTCCAGTTGTCCAAATCGTAGGCCGTAAAATGCTTGCAACAAGCGGAAGCTTGAAGATGACCTCTGAGTTTGCCTCCCTGGAAGGAATCGCCTTGGACTCCCCTCACATACGACACAGCGTACTTGGAATTAACCAGCGGGTCTTCCCCGGCTGTCTCTTGCCCTCTTCCCCATCTCGGATCCCTGAAGATGTTAATGTTCGGAGCCCAAAAAGTCATGCCCGTGGCTTGCCCTGCATTATAGATTGCTCTCGCTTCCGCTCCAATGGCCTTAATCCAAACACGGCCATTTGAAATACACATAAATTCCCAGTGATTGAGAGAAAGTGAGTGTGATAGACTGACTGACTGACCTGACCGATTCTGTACCAGAGGAGGGAGTCAAAGGTAGCAGCAGAGAGGATGACTTGAGGGAAGCTAGTTGCAGAAGAAATGGAGCCATTGAATCGGATGCCACGTCCGACGGAGGAGACTCCGTGCAAAGCTTCATTCCACCACTGGTATGCGGGGATGCCGAGTCGAGGAATGGAAGGTGCGTTGTTGACTAGCTGGGCGAGCTTCTCGTCCAATGAGAGGCGAGACACCAGGTCCTGGGCTCTTCGAGACACGCCGAGCTTGGGATTGCAGAATGGGTAGGATCTGGTTGCGGGACTAGACCAGTCACAGGCAAAAGGAGGCGACTGAGTTAACTCGGCACGGGCCGCCCATTGAGAGAGCACAAGCAAACACTGAAGGACAATGGCTGACAGCTGCATTCTGTCAAAAGAGCATTTGATCCCAACGACGCCTTCGTACAAGCGCCCCTCCCTTTTATAAAGCCTTTAGCCTTTTTCCGTTTGATGGCAGTAATTAATAACGTGATGACACAGTTTACTTATCTCAATCGTGTTTTCACAAAGTGAGAATGAGTTTGGTGGAGCGCTTAACTCGTCAGTCAGAGTTTTGGTTGGTTTAATTTAAACTCAGTCGGAGAGAATGTGACAGGAAAACACGACAAGGAACAAGACGAATGAGGATTAAACTTTTAAAAAATGAATAAATGGATATAAGTAACCTTATTCTTTTTTTTTTGGCCTAACAGTTACCATATTCTATTGACTTGTCAATTTTAGAAGTTAATGTTATAAAAAATAAAATTTTGATTATAAAAACTATAAAATTAATTGTAAAAACTGTGAAAGTTTTGAAAATTCTAAGAGTTTTTTTTTTTTTCTTTTTTTGCCTCAGAGTTCTAAGAGTTAAATTGCAAACATATATAAAACAAACGACGGTGGTTGATGAAAATTTTCTTTATTTCTTTATTATTTTTCTTTGTGCTTTATACTGTTTATAGTTATGGTTTAATTTTAGTTCCCATTTCTACTCAAAAAATAAATAAATAAATTAGTTGCAGATCAATTATAATTTATAAGTTATGGTAAGTTTGCAGATAATAGAAATGAGTATACAATTTCAGGAAAAAAAATGTACAAAATGAATACTAGAAAACGAATTGATGATGTTGATCCATGATTTATTTTAAAAGAAGTAATTTGTATCAATTAGTTTGGGACGCTACATCTCGTCGGTGCCAATATAAGAAAAGCAGATGCTAAAGATAGTTAGTTCAGTAACATTACGAAATCTTGTGAATGCTGATTATAGAAGGTGGCAAGTGGACTCCGCCACGACCCCAAAATTGAAGCGGTAAGATAGTAAATGTGTTGGTCGTGATAATTAATAAACATGGCCTTTATTGATCAACTGGTGGCTTGTTAATACCACAACCAAGACTTGAGATTATATGTATAAAACACCACATACATATATATTACAATATCAAAATTTCATTTCTCAACTCTTTTAATAACAAAACAAAATGGGGAAGCTTTTACATTGCATTTAACCACAATAATCAAAGTTACAATCGAATTAATATTTCTATACTTGCACTAGTCTTTTGGTTTTAATAATATTTACAAATCTCATAAACTGCATTTCACAAATCATAAACTACAAAATAGTACGAGTGTAATGTGAAAAATATAATTTAATTGGCAATATAGCAATTATTACACAAAATATACAGTAGGAATCTTAAAATTTCTAAGCCTCCAAAACCTTTTCTCTGTCTGCACCGAAGCTAAGGCATGTAATTAATATTGAAATAGACGGGTAATTTTAGTCACTCAATAATTAAGGTACATCCACCTTATGTAGGCATATATCAACTAATTTACATATAAAAAGGAGGTTAATCATCCAAAATATACTATTGCATGTAACATGCAATTTGTCATTTCTCAAATTAATTCATTTACATGTTTTGCATCGCAATTCATACAATACATGTCACAAGACATATAAACATGTGACAATGATTCAATTTATTAGTTCCATATGCATTACCACCTTACAAACAATCATATAACCCTTGTACATTCATTATCATGACTTGTCACAAATTTAACAACCATGCGACATGTCGAATGAACACATATGCATAATCAATCCCATTTTATACCTTCCTTATATCTTTCGATTAAAACCATAGGCTATAATATCAAATAGAGTTCCGTTCGTGTGACTGAACTACCTAAATTCACCAATTTATGAGGTGTGATCTGGTTAAAGATCACAGAACTAATTCTCGGACACGACTTCCCCTATTATCAAATATTTGAGGTGTCGTATATCCTATCCTAAGCTAATCTCCTCAATAAACAAGTGGAAATAGCCAATGTAATCTCCTGGCTCATTAATGTATATTTAACTCAATTTCTTAATTAATTCAAGGTTTAACTCAAGGAAATCACCAATTTGTCAAATTCACAATTGAGTTATAAAGATGGAATCCTAAGTTTTTAAAGTTTAATCCAACTCAAAAGGTTTTACAATTAACAAATTAGAGTTTAAATATTATGCAGAAGCATGGGATCATTTAAAAGATCAATGCCTTTGCTTGAAATTAGAAGAACATAGAAATTCTACAAAATCGAAGGCATGCACCGCGGCTTATAAGCCTCTGTGCCATGCATCACAGCACATTGCATGTTCCATGATAGTAAAATTCTACTATCAAATTAATAGCTTTCGGAGCAACTTTCGACACGCTCCATTTCTCTGTTCAACTAACTTGATTTAGGCATTTTCAAAAAGCTTTCTCTAAACTCTAGCTAATGGCTTTGATTTCTTACTCAAATTATTACTCATACAAAAGTTAGACTCTCATTCCAAAATTCTCACTTTTTTACTAATTTTTACAAAACTAAGTGTCCAAAACACATACTAAAAGTCATAGACACCACCAAGACCACATATAATAGACTGAAATGAACTTGTGCAACGTATCACCACATTCATAATACTTATAAATCATATTTTTAATACTCAACTCCTTGATCTCAAAAACAGAAGGGGAAGTTCAAATCTCACAGTTCATCAAATAATTTATAAAATTGCATGTTATACTCAACTCTTACTTGTACTAGTATTTTGACCCTACTCTATATATCATAAATCATATACATACACCCTAAGGCTCAAAATACACTTTATAATTCACTATATACATGATGCAAGTAAGTTCCAAAAGGATTAGTCCTAGTTAGCAATATCATTCATCATATATACGTACATACTCAAAAGATAAAAGAGGCCTACTACTAAGATGTCAAGTCCTATGCCTCTGATTGTTTTTCTCTACCCAATCCTCTTGAGCTATTTCATGTAATATTAAAGATAATGAGATGAGTACAACTACTCAGTAACTGAGTTCGACTAACTTATACTAATGTACGTCAATTAATTTAAATGCAAGTGGCAAGTTACAATTCAATTTTCAAATCATGTAACATACTTAAGAGCATAAATCCACATTCTCAGACATAATAGCACATGCTCAAGGAATAATGCTTTGTAATACAATTTTCATATAAGAAAAGAATTAGTCACATGATCAATTAATAAATTTTTGCATGGAAATAAAGCTAAATTCACCATTTTCATCATTAGGTCACAATACAGACAACTATGTGCCTTTTTTTCACTATATACATGATCACACCTCCCTTATATTCTTCTTATTTTTCTGACATGAAGCAATGAGCTATAATGCATTAGGCTCGTCTATTCACTAAGACTACTATAGCCTAAATACAGTTGACAGGTTACATGATCAAGGCTTCCTAACTTACTCATAGGTCACGGTTTTCCCCATTTCTCTCACTATGGGGTGTCATTCTCTCTAGGCTAGTTTTCTCATTGAATAAGTGAATAACTAGTTAGGTTCGAGTCTCTTATTAAACCAACGGGACAATATATATATATATATATATAATAACTTAGGCAAACCATCGAGTTCTGTTGAGAGCCTTACCATGTGGATTTTAATCTCTACTTCTCTTTTTAGGCGAACTCCTACCTCTCACGATCATTCAATACATAGATATGCACTATATTATAACATGCACATTATTCATTGCTCAGGCATGCTCAATTATCTCATTGTACTCTCATTGCACATAATTACAATTAATCTTTGAACTTTACATTATATATAATCATTGAGCTTTCACTTACAGTAAACCATTGAAATCCTCAATAATTCGCACATTTATTGAACTTCTCATATAACACACATTCATTGAATTTCACATCAATCACATTCATTGAACTTTCTGACACACAATTTCATTGAACATTTTCCATTTCAATTCATTAAACTCCTCATAGCAACAAATAAATGAAAATCCATTTACAATTCTCATTGTCAAATATCAAGTGAAAACACTTCATTGAACTTTATTAAAGGATTAAAATGGATTTTCAAGTAAAACATACTACACTTACATTGCTTTCAAGATCACACATTTAAATTTATCAAGTACAAATCAATAAACTAATTAACACACAAAAATATAAAGTAGAATTCTCTCAATTACCTCAAACCTTTAAGAGATCAAAGATTTCACTCCTCAAATACTCACTCTTAAAGCTTCCAAGAAATTTGAATGGCACTAACATGATTACTCTACAAATATTTACAATATAATTCATCAATATCTATTTTTGGGCTAATTTTCACTATTAACTCAAACACTTCTTCAGTCCTAAGATTCATTCTTTACTTATAGGGTTTCTTAGCTTTCTCTAACCTACATTAACCTCATTAAACTCTTATATATCAATAAATGGAGCCACATTGTCCCATCCATCATATTTATGATAAAATTTTAGATATTAAATGCTCCCCAACTACTAATCATCATAAAACCATAAATACTAGGTTTCATTAGCTTAATCTACTCTTATTAACTTTATTTAAGTCAATAGGTTTTAACCTATAGCATCTATGGATCAAAAATTATCATTCTTAACCAAACCCTAACTTTCAACGTTAAAAAATGAAAAAAGGTAGGATGATTTAAGCTTAGAAACCTTGCCTCAAATGTTTTCTAACTTTAATGTACTCCCAATGTTCGAATTCCTTAAGGCCTAGTACTCCCCTTTTTGTTTCTTTCATCTCTCCTCTATTTCTCTCTTCTACTGCATTAGTTTTTATGTTCTTATTTTCCAAAAAAGTGACCATGCACCGATGGATAGATAATGTGTCACAGCTCATGGCACAGAGAAGTCCTACCCAAGGCATATCAATGCACATGCATCACGATGGCTTATCCACAAGCCATGTCACGTGGCATAGAGCCTTACTTTTTAGATTTTCTTCCTCTTTCATGTTCTGGTAATTCGACTTCACTTTGGACCCACGTTTCGAGCTAAAATTACAACTAAACATGCCCATTAGACTTCTCTGACCATA